TGGCTGGCATCGCTTGATTAATGCAAGAGTGCAAGAGAGACTCTTGTTTATTTGCTTTCCAGAGTACACATGGAATTCACTGAAAGACAGCTCAGCTGCTACAGTCCCATGGATTTGGTGGAGTTCTGAACTCCTGCTGAGTCACCACACTGGCACTTTATCCCACTCAAGACCTTCGTGCTTTTCCCCTCACACAAAGGGCACAGTTGCAGTAATGACTTTTCACCTGGAGTCTGCAGGACACCCTGGATCTCCCTGCCAGCTCCAGCAGAGCCATAACCTTGAGACCACCAGGGATTAACGAGCCTTATATAGGCACACATGAGCTGTACAAATTAAAGAACTGAAACCCAATTTTTCTTTAATTTAGCCAGCACAGATAACAGACAGATTAAGGTAAGGCATACTCCGGTATGTATTTCCCTTATTCTGGAAGTCCAATATCACCCATCCAATATAGAGTTGGCTTCCAGTACCACGGATTTTTAAAACATTAATTTCCCAATCCAACTTCTACAGGCAAAGTTCCACTCTATTATTCTGCTCCCTAGTGACTGGTGCTAGATCGTATTCCCCTTTTTTGCCAGGCAACAGATGGAAGTCCCAAAGAGACTTGTCACTCCCTTTTGCCTCTCATTCTCAATCTGAGCTACTTCACCCTGGCAATCACTTGCTGACTGCGGGCAGTGATCACCTCTTTCCTACAGCTTCTCTTTCTTGCATGGATAGCTGCTGGTCAGTTTATTTTCAACAGATATGCAATGGTTGCTCCTATGGTAGGTACCTAAAACTTCTCCCATTGCTTCTTGCTGATTTTAGTTCAAGGAATAGATGAAAGTAAAAAAGGAAAATTGTTGTTTCATCCCACTTCTTTGCCTCTAGAAGTGTCAAAACATTTACTACCTATAAATTCAGCATCCTTGGAATTGATAAAAGCAGGGTGCTTACATTTGGCACCACTCAAGAGGCAGCAGCTTCTGCCCTAAGGAACTATAGTTCACATTCTCTACCAGCTAAAACACAGTAAATTATTCCCTCAAGCCTGCTCCAGGAAAGCACAAACATCACCTTGACTCTGACCAAAATTTCTTCTTGGAAGCAGGTTTGTAGAGATAAACTCCTGCTGGAGTACATGATATGCTGGCCCTAGGGCTCACATTATGCACTTGCTTGTACATAATGGAGGTAGCAATGCCAGAAGTATTTTTCCCCTTAAAGATGGGCTCGTCCCTCAAAGGTAACATAATGTCTGAAGGACAGAAATACTACCTTGTTGGGAAAGAGTTTGGCATCACTAATTTTGCTAATTTTGGAAATTCTGTCAATTTTCATTGATATAACAATCCATTTTACTTTTATATCTAGTTCAGCTGTTCTCCTCAAATTATTTCTGGTGGCAGTGAGTGCCATTCATTTAATGAAAAATGTTTCTATCATATCTGAATTTGTCACCTCTGCTTTACAAATGTAAAAACTGGGCCTATAAAGCTACAAGACAAAAATAGAAGTTCTCCATCCATTTTGTCTGTCTTAATCATCACTGTAGCTATTTTAACCTCTCATTCTCTTCAATCTCTCTGTAATATTTCTGTTGTCTCACTATTTTTGTCAGCACTTTCAAAATCCTAGGGAACTTGAAATACAAAGTATCTGCCCATGATGCCTGGAACTCAGACTTATCCAGGTAATTTAAAAAATAAAAGTTGTTAGAATACTTCACTTTCTCTACCTATGCTGTCCTTCACATTCCAAATTGCAACTTCAGTGATCCACTCCCTGAGCTTGATAAGGTATCATTACAGTCTCTCTCTTTTTTTTTTTTATTGTGAGCTTGCCTTTCATAACCTTCATTATTTTATATCTCACTGGTCATTCCTTTTCCAGATTAATTAAAAAACCCCCAAACCAAACCCTTATCAACAAAAAGCTCAGCAGAAGTCAATAATAAACTATTGGAAAAACCCAGAGCATAACAAGGGTTTTGTAATTATACAGTCTAGTGTAATAAATTGGTAAGCAAATTAGCTCTCACATCTTAAATCTCTTCACAGGTATGTACATGTGGCACAAAAGAACAGATATGCCTATATTATCCTACTTCATGAGAATTGGTAACAGCTTATTATCATGAACCATATATTACCATCAGCCTCTTGAGTAACAACAAACCTTTTATTGTTCTCTGAAAATAAGCTTGAAACTCAAAGCTATAGCCAAGACAGGGTGTCTAGGAAGAGCCTCAGTACTGCAGCAAAAATAAAGGGGGAAAGAACTCTCCTTTAAGACTCTTAACAGATCTTGGCATTCCTCTGATTTAGGCACAGAATTCCCCCGTCTCAATAGTGTAACTGCCATTAATTGTCTAAGTGCCAATTTACACAGGACATATAACACAAAATCTGCTTAAGTTTAACCACTTAACATAAAGCTAGCAAGAGACTTTAAGATGGAGAAGTATATCCATCCCTTTATTTGCTTCTTGAAGTACGATTTGTGTGAGAAACCTTATCAGAGCACATACAGAACAACAAAATACACAAGCTTTACTCCCCTGCAGCAGCAGCCATTCCGGATTTCTGGCTAACCCAGAAACACCCGCCTGCCTTCTTACCTGTGAGAAAGGAAGTTTTTACAAAGTGCTGTGTATTTCTCTTCTAAATTAAATAATTTTTCCTTCTGTTGCAAATGTACTAAGGAATGATATCCATAAACAGCAGAGATCAGCATTAAATTGATGCAGCACCTTAGCAAAGCCTTTAATAATACAGTGGCCATGCTTTTTTCCTCCAGCAGCTGAGCTAATCCCCACAACTTGTTTCCACAGTCATAATTTTGGTATCCTTTAAGAGAACAAAAGTTGTAGAGCACTCTCATTGCTACCAGATATTACAGAATCACAGAACGGGCCAGGTTGGAAGGGACCACATGGGGCCATCTGGTCCAACCTCCCTGATCAAGTAGGGCCATGGCACAGGATTGTGTCCAGATGGTTCTTGAATGTCTCCAGTGGAGGACACTCCACACCCTCTCTGAGTATTCTGTTCCAGTGTGCAATCACTGCACAGTAAAAAAGTTCTTCCGTATATTCAGGTGGAACTTCCAGTGCATCAGTTTCTGCCTGCTGCCTCTTGTCCTATAGCTCAGCAGAGCCTGGATCCATCCTCTTGGCACAATCCTATGGATACTTACAGGCACTGATGATGTCCCATCTCAGTCATCTCTTCTTGAGGCTGAACAGGCCCAGCTCCCTCGGCCTTTCCTCGTAAGAGAGATGCCTCAGTCCCCCAGGCATCCTTGCTCTTCCCCACTGGACCCTCTCCAGGAGCTCCATGTCTCTCTTGTCCTGAGGAGCCCAGAACTGAACACAGCACTCCAGATGTGCCTCACAAGGGCTGAGTAAAGGGGCAGGATCACCTCCCCCTGACCTGCTGGCACCACTTTTCCATCCTAATCCACCCCAGGACCTTCTCCACAAAGCTCCTTCCCTCAGCCTGGTGCAAGAGGAAGAACCCTGCATTTGCCTTTGATGAATTTCAGAAGGTTCCTCTCTGCCCATGTCTCCACCCTGTCGAGGTCCTTCTGAAAGGCTGCACAGCACTCTGGGCTGTTGGCCACAATAGAACTCCTCACATGTGTGATTGTTTATAACATACACACAATGGTATAGGAGACACATGCAGTCTCTTCATGGTATTTCAGAATAAGAAGGACTCCATCCTCTCCTTCCCTTCCTTCATGACATCTATTAACGCATAGGAAAAAGATAATTTCCATCTGGCAGTGCAAATCAAATGTCCAACTCTTCAGTGTATTATCAGACCATCCAACAGCCCGACCCTGCAAAGACTTGGCTTTAATCTTTTTGGGTTGCTAGTATCCACTTTACTCCAATCAAAGTAGAAGAGAAGCATATGCATGAGCTTTAGCAAAGCTGGGAAATGTGGATTAAGAGCTACTGCTTTTGTTTTGGCAAATACACAAACCACAATACAAAGCACACAAGGAAAAAAGCACACATCTTTTAGCAATCCCCCTGCCCCAGTTTTCCACCCGCCTCACACCACAACAAAAATGCTCTTCCAAGGGCAGAACTTTGACAATTGGTGAGAAAATTCAGGCAAACTGTTTCTACCCACTTTCTGCAGGAGTCATTTTGGCATGCTTTAAACGCCACGCAGTACTTAAGGATTTGCTTGGACATGTGCGTATATGCATCTTATTCATCTTGATAAAAGGGAACTCCACATACTTTGCTATAGAAACTCACCAAATACTTTGACTAGAAGCTTCTGCATTTTCATGTATGTATTCTGTGTCAAGTACCTGGCTACTTTTTCAAATAAGGATTACTTCTCCTGCATTCTTTTTTCAAAATCAATGCATTTGAAAGCCTTGGTCAATTAACTGAGCATGTTCTGTCTCAGACCGTTTCTTTTTCTTGTGCTGTCATAGCCATTCCCCATCTAAATCTGTGTTACTTGGGTGGTCAGCATTTTGGAAAAGGAAGTCTATCACACTTTTGCCTTTTTCTAGAAGAAGGTTTGTGTCTCTACAGTTTCTTATTTAGCAACCACACTGCAGAGTAGAAGGAAATGCCCCTCCCAAGATTCATTTTGGTAATGAGCACACAATTCTGTCATCTCGGTGCCCAGCACCTCAAGGGCTATGTGCGTGCCCTTTGCTATCAGCAAATGAAGACTGCAAAAACTCACAGCACGAGCACACGGCTCCTCTGAGGCACACGAGGGTGTGACACTGCAGCACATTTGCAACTGCTCATGCTCACATTCCTCTTCAACAGAAAAAAGACTTCCAGGCCACTTATTAAGTGAAAGGAAAACAAATATTGAAGTGATAAATCCCATTACCATTTTTCAACAGGCTTTGTGCTCCTCCTTTTTTAACAATAAATAAAATGGAGTCCTTACTTAATTTCCGGATTAAGAAGTACTATTAAAAGCAGTTCAGACCCAATTACAACCCTTGAAACACCACTGAAATGCACTACAATATTCTTTTATTTAGTTTACAGAAGAGTCTATCAGTACAGGTTGCAGAAAGAAAATGTTTAGTGCTATTTACAATTTGTTTTAAAACTCTGCTCTATACAAATTTAATTCTGATCAGTATGAACAATATTTTTGTAAATCTACTGCATATAAAGCATTTCATCAAAGCAGTAACAATGAATAAAATAACCTGTTTACATTTGAATGATGCCAATCATTCGGAAAAACGATTACACAGAACATCTGTAAGAGTTGTGGACACTTAAGTACAGAACACAATGTCAACCTGTGACTCAGTTTTTTAAAGGCTAAAGCTATTTATATGGAATATTGTTCTATTATACTACACGCCAATCTATATTTAACTTCTATAGTTATGTATTTTATAAGATTTTTATTAAATATATTCTACACATATTTGTAATTTCACCCAGGAAGAATTCCTCCCCAGTGAAAAAATATAAAATCTTTTATATTTTTTAATTTTTCTTTATTTTTATTTTTTACAGATTTAGATGAAACTAGCTCATGCTTTAGTGCTGTGCAAATTTCTTTAGCATATCAACATTTAAATTATTGATATGAAATAAAAGAATGGCATCCTTTTTCAATTATGTATGCCTTCAAAAATCAGCTTCTGATTTTAATACCATTGCAAGCACTAATACCAAATGCAGATTACATAAAGAAACAAAACTAGTATTATGGCAGAAGTTTTTCTTTTTGCTTTTTAAATTTTAATAATTATTTTGAAATCTCTAATGAGTAAGCATGACACTGGAGTCTAAGGTACAGATGAGAAAAATGACTGAAAAACACCAATTGCCAATATTCAAATACATAAAATTGATTAGTAAATGATGTTTTCTAACGTTTATGCACAATAATAAAAGCCTATGAACTACAGGAAACTACCCCTCCCATATTAAGGCTAGGAAATGCACTCTCTGCACTTGTTTGTGCTGTCTGAATAAGCACTCAACTAACACACGATTGGAGTGCACACAGTAACAAAAAAATCAGTTTCATCAGCCCTCTACAGAGTGCTTTTAAATTACAGGCACATAGTATTTTTTCTTTGTTGCAGTGAAAATATATATAGTTAGACTTGGTTTAGTTAGTATTCTGTGCCAGTTTGGCCACCGAGGTTGACTTAGGTAGAATTGACTGAACAGTTTTTCCTTTGATTTGGCCATAAGTGAGATTTGTTTTAATTATTAATATACTATTTTCCAGTGCTGCATTATACATTGTGGGTTATTACTAGATGTCTCAAATATTGTTAGAGATTGTTGAGAGAAATATACTGTCAACCATATTTAGTGCAAATTGCATCTAGAAAGCTTGACTGGTTAGATCCGGTTAATGCAGATTTTCATGGTAGCAAAAAGATTCCTGCTATGGAAAAGAACACAAACCTTTCTGGAGATTGAATTCTTTCAAAAGTGATGTACTGTAAGATTATTCAACAAAGGAGGAATTGAAAAAAATAATTAAAGTGTTCATAGATCTTTCACTTTTTTTTTTTTAAAAAAGACTAATGAGACAGTGTTCATGTATTATTTCAGTTCCATGGATTTACAGACAGGCTCTTCCTACAGGTGTCTGAAGCAAGGTAGGGCCTCTTCTATTCCAGCAGCATGAAAGACAAAGACTATATTACATCACACTTAGCAGGTAAAGCTAACAGGTTTTACAGGATTACACAGCAGTTGCTTTCTCCAGTTTTTTCACGGTTCCTTTGACCTGCAAAGAAGAGGGAAGTTTTATTTACATTCCATTTCTAAAGCAATAAGGCTGTTCTGTGTGAGAGTATGCTTAATACAAGTCTGTTCTTAATTATTTATATATTTATTGTTATACACATGCATACATAACTGAAATCAGGACTAGTTCTTCACAATAAGAACAAGGGCTTTTTTTCTGAGTAAGTTTCTGCACTATATAAAAATGTTAAACCAGAAAGTTAATTTCTTAGTTTTCTACAATAGCATTCCATTACCTTCCTCACAAAAGAGCACAAGGACTTGACTTTTCTGTACTATGAAATACTTAAAAAGCCTGTAAGAGACCTGACCACTTTGCCATGTACTTGAGTAAGAAACTCCTCTAGTGCCCAGCCTACCTTGAGAGTTTGGTTCTGGCAGTGTCTCTCTAGCCACCAAATGCATCACTGTTGTTTTGCCAAAAGGAAGTTTTAATGCTGCAAAAGGAGAAAAGGAGAGTTATTAACACATTATATCAGCCTTTTTTTCTCAAAAATATCCAGTTGAGACTAACTATAATTGGATTAGCACCTGTTCAAAAGTTCGTACTGTTAGGTTTGATCTGCTTACTGGTAGAAGTTTGGTAAATAAGGGACTCGGGGCATGACAACAGTCACTTAGAACACTGCATTCTTAAAGAATTCCTGTTAGGAAACTGAGCCTTCCTCTTTTAAGCAAAAAAGTGAACTGGGCATTCATGCCAAGACTCAGGTGTTAAGCACTCTTAAATGATAAGGATGCAAAGAAGCTGCTATTGCAGCCACCAAATCGTTATTCCTGAGATATCAAAACACTGAGTCTCTACTGCAAAACATTTTCCTAAAACATATTTTGATCCATGACACAGATTTTCCGAAACATAGAATATCTGCATGTTGCCTTTTAATACTAATCTGTAACATCAACTGCATGTGGAAAACATCAAATTTAAAGTAGTAGTTCTCACAATGCTGTCTTTGTGAGCTTTAGCAACACAAAATTTAAAAAAATGTTGCTTTCCACAATTCATTCTGCTTGTGTCTGAAACTAAAATGATACTTTTTACATTCCAATTTAAGTATACAAATACACTGTATACTTAAGAGTATCATTCTTGATTGTTTTTCTGAGAAATAGAAGGCAAAGATGGTCTAAGTTCTGTCCTTTCCACCTTATAGTGGAAAAATGTCAGTGATAAATTTAACAAGAACTTAATCCTTAATACACAAATAATTCTGATTTGAGTAGACTTTGTCCTTTCAAACTCAAGTTACAGCTTTTTCACATACAGTGAAATAGCATTTAAAGCGAATAAATTAATAAGGAATGGCCAATAAACCTGAAGGCAACTGAAGCAAAAGATGCCCCTCTGTTTTAATCACTACAGCATAGATTAAAGATTCACTAATAAAAAGCCTCACTACAACACCACTATTAAATCATGTTTGTTGCCTACATATTTATTTTAAAGAAATGCAAATTATGATTAAAACACAGATTCAAACACTGGTGTAACCACACAAATGATACAGAACTCCACAAGATTCTCTGAAGCAGCCGTACTTTGGGAAAAGCCATCTCTATGGAAAGGCAAATGTAAAAGTTGCTTCGTTTACTTGAAGCACTGCCTGTGCCTGCAACTAGAAGCTATTGATAGTTTGAAATCTGACAAAGATGATATATTTTGGGTACTAGATACAATGATACAACTGCAAACTCTAACTGACTGTTAATATGCTCTTTGCAAACTCCATGGAAAAGGATTTTCTTCATACCATAAACTCTTGAATTACAAAATAATCACATTAGGAACATCTTTCATATCAACACAATTCAGGAGACTTGATTAGTGAGTTGTGGAGATTAACTATTTACAGTAATTAAGAAGAACTATGCTAATATTTATATTAACTGATTTCAGCTAGTAGTTTGCATAGTTTACACAAGTTCTTACTAGAAATTTCCAGCTTCTTGCTTGGAGCACCATGACAGCATCTGAGCAGCCTAGCCTATGCTGAGTAATCCTTTCTTGCTCTTCTCTTTGTGCTCACCGCTCACCCCTTTCTCTCATTTTAACCAAAATTGTATTTAATTCCTTTCCCAACTGTTCAATTCCATTGTTGTTCTGTATTTTCTATCATCAGAACTTACTTTTCACCCCCTTATGGAATGCAGATGGCACATGATGTGTTGACTTCCCTTCCCCAGAAAATAAGGAAGCAAATGCTGCTGATTACCATTATCAACCAAGAAATGTATTACTTCCCTAATTAATATTATTTTAAATGCAAACTGCAGAACAAATATTTAGCTAAAGGATTAAATTTCCTGTTGGAAGCTGAACAACAGACTCTGCCTTGCTAGCCAACTCCCCAGCCCTCTGCACAGGCAGGACACAACAAAACTGTGTGGCTCAAGCACTGCAGGCAAGAGCAGTGCAGCTTTACAGAGGTGTCTGTTCTACACTGCTCCCAGTGCCACAAGCTCTGCTGTTCTTGTAGTGACAGGCCATTCAGAGGAGGTATCAACAGCGAATTCTTTCTTGAAAATAAAGTTTTTCACTCAAAAGCACTTTTTCCTATCAATTTCTCATTTTGAGACAGTTTATAGGAGTCTCAAATTCATAAGCCACTACACAGATATGTAAAATAAAAGTGATCAAAAATGGACTCCAATTAAAAAAAGAAAACACCAAACTGTTTCCTTGGAAACTTTTGTTTCACTGGATGATAAAGTGATTTTCAGGAGGTCCAAATTCCAGTCAATATTTCCTAATCACCTAAAGCAAATATAACTAAGTGCTCTATCTCAGTCAAAGAGAACTGCAGCTAGAAAAGCTTAATGAAAGTGTATGATAATAGTATAAGAACCATAATATAAATATTGTGTTTAGAATGAAACCTCCCCCCTTCACCTCCCTTTTATAGGTAACTAGTTCACTTAAGGTTACCTCTAATCAACAACACAAACTGAAGTAAGAGTCTTTTCAGGCTGTTTCATGAATTCCTGTTCCCCTTTTAGCTGTGTAATCTTACTCCTGATAACTTCATTAGTGCTGAAGTTAAGCCAATATTTCAGGGATTTTTTTCTTAAAACAATACAGCAACGAAAATATTTTTGAAAAACACTAATATACATGTAAGATCCTTGGGGTAAAAACATGATTAAATCAGAACGCATGAATGATTAAGAATGAACTAAAATGCCTTGAACCCAAGTAAGTGTTCAAAATTCATAGACCTAAGTTAACACAAGAATCAGCAGCATGCAGCTATTATTTTTCAGCTTAACTCATTAACTAATAAATTAAATATATTAAACAAATATTCAACATTTTTTCAGATTTAGACAAATGCCACTAAAGAGAAAAAATGCTGGTGGTAAAGAGCAGCACTCAGATGAATGGCAAAGTAAATCCCAGTTAGCTATCCTTGCCTGGAAATGTAGGGTAAGACTAGCATCTTTAATTGCAGAGATGATCCAAGACTTAACATTTGTCTTTCAACTCTACTCCAACTGCTACTAGCTGCACTCACTGTCACCTGGTAAAAATACAAATTAAAGAGTGAATAAAAATTTCAGAGTTCTTCCAGCTAAGCTGACAATGATCTTGTTTGTATATATAGAAGCATTAAAAATTTATATATCTGGAGAGTGAATCTATAAGTACATCACTAGGCAACACTGGAAATGGTAGAAAGTGAATCAATAGCTATATCATTCCAGCCAATTCTTCATGGAACATCACCATAAGCAGTCCACAAATATTATTTTCAGATTCCTCTTAACTTCAAAAAGACATATTATTTTCAGATTTTTCTAAACATCAAAAACATATATTTTGAATTACATTATGCTCTCCTTTTTGTACCACATTCAGGTACCAAACCATAAATATAATTTGAACATAAAAGTAGGAGCATTAATTTGTTTTTAAACTGGCACAGAATGGAGGGTCTCATATTGTCTAGTCATTGATACAGCTGATACTCCCATTGGCAAATGCTACCTACAAAAGGAGAGATGACTTAACAAATGTGTGTCACACCTCTAACAAGGGCTCCCACCAAAATGCGTATTTGTTGGGAAACAGTTGCCACGAGGGGGCACAGTTGAATTTCATTTCCTTAGCAAACGAAGTGAAGCCATTTACTGTTGTTTTCACATAACTATGCAATTGTATCCCTGGGAGAGCACTGGACAGCAAGAATGCTTCCCCTCATTCTCATTCATAGGGTGTCTTCCTGCGTTGCACTAAGATTTAAAGTATTGTTAGACCAATTATCATAAAGTTTAACAAGCATTTAAAAACATTTCAGGTATTTATTAAGCAGCTAGTCCTGCTAAATGCAGTGTAAGAGAGGTGGAAAAAATATTCCATTTAGAAAGAAGACAAATAAAAGCAGCACTACAGTTTCTTTGTGTGAGAGGAGACTTGACTTAGCAGGTGGTACCTCTCAAAGTTTAACAGCTCGTGGTAACAACATGGAAAAATATGCAATGAAGTACAATGTCACTATGCACAAGAAAAACAGTATAAAGCAAGCAATCCTGTGATCTTGAACAGTAAATTAGTATTCAGTGAACTGTAAATAAATATCCCCTTTGCCTAACCGTAACATGTATAATGAAAATTATTTTCATACCTCCTAATGTCACATTGCCATGAAGAAACCTCCCTTGATAAATAAGTCGCAAGATATTTGGACTGCTGACTTGTTCTTCTTCCCAATCTGAAGAGAGAGAATTTCCACAGTTATATTGTAATAAAAACATCATTTGTTAATTCTCTACCATTTATCCAGGAAGAAAATCAGGAACAGGACTCTTGCATAAAACACTGAAGAGAGAACATAGGCTGAAGGTACAGGAAGATAATTCAAGGCCAGCACTCCTGAAGTCTATTCTTGAATTTATTATTTGACATTGGGCATTGAAACACGTAATTTTATGTCTGCAAGTATAAATATTACTGATGTCACAGACTGCAGGATATATTTAGCACATACACAAGTCCTAAAGAAAATATTTCATACGTGCAAATTGCTTCCTGGTTCTTGATATCCAGGCCATTCTGAAGTTCCCCTAGCCATGCTCCTTGTCACCAGCTAATTGACTAACTGGAGCTGTTCTCCAGCAACGGGAGCTGCCACACACAGAGCGAGGGCGCATGTGATGGGTCACTTGAAACAGGACTCTGAGATCACAGCGCTGAAAAAAAGCTCCGGAGGCAGCTCAGCGCCGTTCGATGACAGCCAGATCCAACCAGTTCCATGTCTGGAGGGGGCAGTGACCTGAGCAGCCCCCGACCGCCACCACAGAGCCAGAACAGAGGTTCTCTCAGAGCAGACACCCACCAATAAATTTTAAGGAGCTTCTCAAAGGCCCATCCGTGAATGTTTTTATGTGGCAAACAGTGGTTCAAAAAAAAAGCAAACATGCATTTTCCTATAATGCTTAAGCCATCATAAATAAATGATAAGCTTAAATGGTCTTTTCCTACGCTTTTTCCATTCCCCGTCACAATGTGAAGAACAAATAAATATGCACTTTGCTTTCAGAACAAGTATCATAAAGCCTTGAAATGTTGAATTTAAATGGTCTCCCTGGGAATACAGTGTCTTCTGTTTCTTAGATGACCATATATCTGGTGATAGTTGTTCACAAATGTTCTCTCTTTCTGTTTTTGTAGTGTTTATATAGCAAAACGAATATTCAGCGAGGGATCAAGACAAGCCACAGAAACCAACCTGTTCACTGGGAACATATAATTAACGTACAGGCAATAGCAACTGGCACCACAAAAGGAGAAGAACTGAAAAGGGTAGAAGGGGAAGCATTTAAAACAAAAGCCACAGCTGCAGAGGGTACGGAGAGGCATCTGGTGCAAAAAGCAAGCAGGCAGAGACGCGGCAGCAGGAGCCATCTCAGCCCCAGACCACGGCAGGAGCAAGGCTGGTACCAACAGCAGAAGCTACAACACTCCCAGGTGCTCCCATGTGCCTGGTTTACAAGATTAGATCAAATTAGGCAACCAAAGCTATTTGAATTTCAAGTATTTCCACTTAGGGTCTGATTCAATTGTCTTGCAATTCAAGCACATGCCCATTCTGCTGTGCCGTGAAGTGGGCTACATCAAGGATATGAATCCTCACACTGCTACCATAACAGTTTTGGCTTGGGTTTTTTTTTTACTCCATACAATCTGAACTCCACTATATGTGGCTGTAAAAAGGAAAAATTCAGCCAGTTAACAGTGCCATAATGATGTAAAACCACAACCAAAAGAAGACAGACTAGATTTTGGCACAGGTATTTTCTCACTGTTAAGCTGCCAAGTTACCCATCCTTTTAATTTCTGCTTCTTGGCTGGATGTCTAAAACATTTCTTTCTGACATGAATTCAAATTTTAATTTCCACCAATTACTAAATGAGCCAAGGACTCACTGAATCCACCTTTTTTTTAAAAAGTTCAGATAATTGCTGTACAAGAAAGAAGTTAATATTATTTAGAAGAAAATGGGGAGGGGAAAAAGAGAACAGGTAACCTATCTAGATGATATGCATTAAAATAAATTTGGCATTTTCTACTGCAAGTCGAGAGATCCTTAATTAACAACTATATTGCCAAAAGAGGTGGAGGGAGATTTGCCTTAGTTCTGCCATCATGTGACAGAGGTTATTTCATTCCTTTTTTTTCCCCACAAGATCATGACAAGTCATAAAGATGATAAAAACAATTGTAACATCTCTGTTTCAAGACAACTTTAGTCCTCAACAAGATTTCTCAGTCCTCTGGCAAAGAGAAGCACTCTCAGTCTGAAAACAGCTAATGGGCTAATGTTTGTGAAAATCTATATGCTACTCTGAAGTGAGATTGTTTTTCTTTTAAATTCAGACTATTCTTCTTTGCAAAAACAATTAAATATTCACCAAAATTTAGAGCACTCTCTCAGGACAGCAGGTATTTGAACTGAGGTTTCCATGTCTGGTTCTATTGTTTTTTAAAGAGGAGACTTTAAAGTCTGGTTTTCTTCCCAACTCTAAACTCAGAATCTGCAACTTTCAAGGTCTTTACAAGACTGTGAACATGACATCACATGTTCACAAGCATAAACTTGAGTAAGGAAAAAAAATCCAGTTCTGCCTCTACCAATTCAGATAAACGTACACAAAGAACATTTGGTTATGACAACTATGTTATAGGCACATGTTAAAATATGTACAGGACAGATGCTATGCTAATCTATTTTTTAAAGCATTTTACATCTGTATCTAATACTTCAGAGGACTTAAAACCTCCTCCTTCATTACATATTTTACTAAACACATAATACTGCATTCCAGCAAATCAAACAGCAAACTTTTTTCCTGACCTCAAAGAGCAGTTTAAGGCCTAAAATACCGATTATCACCATTAACTTTTTGGCATAAACTATCACCCACCATATGTCTTTGACAAAGGCACCACAGAAACAGATAGTGCAATGTTTTAGTTTGTCTAAATAGTAGTCTTTTTAACATCAAAACAGTAACCCAAATGAAGTCCTGTACCAAAAGAAGCATTTTCTTTCATCGTATGTAATGCTATGTCTGTGTTTTGGCTATTTTCCCATGAAATCATAGTCGGGGAGAACAGAAGCACTTTGTTTTGGGGACCTATTCACATATGTGAATACACATCTTAAGTTCTCAAGCCCGTTTTCCAAAACCAGTATTCCTGTATGACACCAAGTGTATTTACACAACCAGTTTTCTAATGTCTCTTAAAATGGGCTTTTATATTTGTTTTTTTTACCGGAAAAATATCAGTATTACAGATCCTTTCCAAGATAAGGCAGTAAGGAAAAAGTACTTCAGACTCAATTTTACTAATGCATTCCTGTGACTTCCCATGTTTTATTTTAGCTCTCTTCACATAATAGGTTTTCTATCTGCAACATCTCACTTCCTAGATCCACTAATATGATCAATAAAGAAAAGTGTCTAAAGACAGGGGGGAAAAGTACTTCAATTTGGGGAAGCAAATTTTAGAAATAAAGTAGGAAACAGTCCTGACACCTAAATATCTGCCCAACTGAAGGTACTGTAGTAGGACACCTGTATTTCTATATAAATCTTTGTCCAGATAGTGAATAAACATACTTAATTTGAATGGTGAGCAGGAGATCAGTTTACTGACAGTTTAGTCTGAATATACAGAGAAGCTCCTTGCTCACCAGTTAAATAGTCAAAGCCACACAGCTACTCACCCATTGGCCAGTTGTCATACACATGTTTTGCAATATCTGCAGCAGAGTCATTCGGTGAAAACAGGAACTCTTTTGTTTTCCCGCTTACCAAGATGAGGCGCAAATTTATCTGGTAAAAAAACCCAAACCATCAGTATTAGGAAAGCTTACAGAGACAACTTAAATTATTTTTTTTTACAGTGACTAAAAACTGTCATTGGTTCTGGAAGACTGATCCAAATAATTTGAGAAAACAGTTTAACATGTTAACATATGTTAAAAAGAGGGTCAAAGAGGTCAATAAAATGTTGTTCACATACCCATAATCTAGGAAGATTAAATTCTAACAGCTGGTATTTTTGATTATCAACACCAGAACATTCTGTTAGTGATTGAATGAACTGTGCCAGTAAAAAATAGCTTTCAATAATGTAGGAACATACTCTAGCAATGGCACACAAGCAACATAGTTCCTGAATGAAGAGGAAAAATATAACCTGAAAAATTAACTTACACAGAAAGAATTAAAATATCAAAATCTTCACCTGAATAGCCTGTGAGCCTAAATAAAAGCCCTAGATTGCTCCCTCCCGATCTCAGCCAGTGCATCTCCTACAAAACACCAGGGAGTCAGACAGCATTCTTTCTTGTTCCCAGCTGCCACAAAGCTGCCTTCCTGAATCCCTCTGCCAGTCTTCCAAATCCAAAACTTTGTCCTACAACTGTCTTTCACTTTGGGTAAGTTGCAACAAAGAATTCTTTGTTGGAATTCAGTAAACTGTTTTCTACATCAAATATCAAGTAAAAAATTTATAGCAATGTCCAAGTTTTCTAGATTTCTTGAAAAAATCTCAGTACATCATATCCACTGAACGTTAAGAGCCCTGCCTCAGCTGCCTACTCTCCACTTACTTCAGAAGCTCTTTGCACAGATCATCTATTCCCTCTTGAATGCTTTGGCTTGGATTCATCCTACCTATCTTTAAGCACCTAATGGAGGTATCCAAATTACAATCTCTATCATCCAGCACACTTCAAGGTCAATGAAGGAAATGACCCCTCCTAAAAGCAATTCAGTGTCTATTTCAAAGTGTAGCAAGTATAAAAAGAGTGAGCATAAAAGACTAAGTTCTCCTCCCTGTCCTCCTACGAACATCCTTCGGAAAATACAAGCCCTCCCATTAGTCCAGGAAAGCAGCCAAGTGGTAGCTGTCTATGAGAAAGCACCACAGCCACCCCAGGAGCATCACTGCATACCAGGAAATCACATAAAACATTTGAAAGAGAGAAACTGAGGGAATGCTGTTTAGTCAAAGACAATTCTTCACAAAATTCAGAATACATTTGGCTATACACAACAAACTTTTGTTTTCTTTGAAATATCCACAATGATTAAGGAATTATTTTCAAATTTCACTAGTATTTAGCAGAAAAAGCAGATCAAGTTCTACTGTTCCTGTTTACTCCAAAAATCTGACTATTGTGATGAAACTACACTGAAGCCTCAAAAAGTTGGAGTATGTTCAGGTGTTGTTTTGCTTATTCTGTATTTCAGTTTCAGTATCTCGCCCCCCTTTACTGTTTCCACCTGTGTATGTACAGACAACACACACATATACAGTTTCTTTAGCTGGACTACCCTAGATAAACTCTTCAAGCTTCCTCTAGTGAGACACCTATTCCTCCTTTCATCCTAGGAGCCTGTCTCTGCACAATTTCTTCTATTTTCTCCTCAAACAAATGACAATTTCTGAAGCATACTACACCATGTCTCACCATGCTTGTATAACATCACCAGTAATTTCCTCTGTCTACTGGAAACATCTGTGACTGTGTCCCAAGAGCACATATACCTACCTTCTTCTTAACTGCACCACGATGTTTGCTCAGTTATTTTGCACCCTCTTCTACTTTGATCCTTTCAATTATTCAGCCTCCAAGCTTTTATCTTGGCTGTATCACCCTAAAGCACATGGCTCCAAATTTCATCCCACTCCTATTACTCCATCCCTCAGAGAGAAAGGCTAGGTGTAAAGAAGTATTCTGCATCACAAAGATGTTTCAGATTTCCCCCATGCTTGGCCACTGGGCCTAAGAAATTCCCCAAAGTTCTTCTTCCTCTCTACATTACAAGCACTTTTCAAACTTCATGTGAACCATAAATTCTAGCAGCAAGAAGTCTTTACACTTACCTTTGTCATTAAATTAATCAGGAAACATCAAAATTGATATGACAGCTGTTTCATAATAAATTTAATAACAAGCTCTCTCTGAGCTGCCTACTCCCCTCTCAGCTAGGTCCTTTATACGAGGCTCACAGACAGTTTCTCTAATACTTTTTAATTTCTCCTGTTTAACGAATGGTTTGAAAAACAGCACCACATCAGTTACAAAGTACATATTCAGATGACACTATAAAAATATGCATATAGAAAGTAAGTTCTTTTCATCAGCTTTTAGAAGTGGGGTGTACTGCATTTGATTCCACTCTCTTTATACCTCATTATTTTAAATTATTTTTTAAGCATTAATGCACCTCCTTACAATACCAACATACTCACAAAAATTTAGGAAGTTCAGATCACATCACAAATTGTAATTTGTGCTTGGAATGGGCTGCTTGTTTAAAAGAACAAACAAACCAACTCCAAATTTTCAGCACCAGTGCCTACCTTAGCTTCTTCACCAGCAGCCCTTCTGCCTCTCACTCAATTCCCCATATCCATTTCCTATACTCTAACTGGCTCATGAGACACTCCCCTTAGCTTGCTCCCTCTGGCTAAGCAGTTGCCAAACTCTGAATTTATATTGTTTATCTAAGGATTTATTTTGCTTCATCTGTGTGTAGTTTAGCTGTGGTGGGGGTTACCTGTTTTGAAGACCATAGCATTTTCCTAGGCAATAGACTTAACACCAAACCATCCACTTCCTAGAACTACCTGGTTTGGATTCTACAACGAACTGATTAAAATAAACCCCAAAAGATTAGCCCTGCTCAGCACTTAAAAGTATGATTGTGGCACTGCAATAACGGAAGTGAAGTTATTCTTCTTTTACCATAACGTTAGGGAGATACATTTCTTTTTATCCTCACTACTGAGTTTTGAGATCATCAGGCAGACTAAAGTGAATATAGAAAGGAGACAAATATCACTAAAAAATAACCAAATTAGCTTGGCTTCCTGGAAAATTTAATTAAGTCACACCTCTGCAGTTACTATACACCATAAAATCAATATAAGCAATATGAGGGAGGAAAAAAAGGTGAAAAATGTTAGATTCTTCTTTTTCCCCCTACCTCCCTAAGATGGTTCTTGTTGCTGAAGAGTATTTCTTATAGCCTTACTATGAAATATAAAAGGAACATTGAGGTAAGATAGTAATTTTACAGGGTATATTACGAAGTATGTATAAAATGCAGGATAAATGTTTTCATTTAAAAAAAAAAAAAAATCATCACATATCAGCAGAAGCCCAAAATGAATTTTTAAGTCAGTCAAGCAGATGTTACATCAAGTGCAAAGAAACAGCTGTTCTAATGAAAGGTTGGAGTATTTTCTTATTTATAGTACAGCATGCCACCAACACATTTAGTTTGCATGTTTGTCTCTGTGTGTGTGTGTATCTCTCTCTCTATATATATATATTTTTTTTTTAATCTTGGCTTGAAGGAATCTAAGTCTTGAGTTGCGTATCACACTACTCCAAAGGGTTTAAAGCAAATAATCTCAAAATTTGCATATAAATTTAGAGTCCAATCTCATTTCCCTCAAGAATACTGGTAAATTTAACAACTTGCAACTGCTGTACTACTTAATCTTGCAAACAAACTATAGGGGATCTTAAAAAAATATTTCTGTCAAAATTTCAGAAACCTCAGAAGTAAAAGAAGAAAGAAAAAAGGTAAGAGCATATGTGTATATACAATTACTCAAAGTGAAGAAAAAAGCCTTGGTTAGGTAGAGGAATAAAAGCATCAAATTTTTATTTTTCAAGTTAAGAAAGGATTCTTAGTAATGTTAGTTATCCCTATATCCTATTTCCTACTTTAAAAGCTGCCAAGGAGGTTGTATCTGTATTTCTTGTATGCTTAAAGCCCCTCCATCTATTCGTGTCAAGAGTCTTGGTCGCGAAAGACTTGCAATTCTCATGGTCCTGACAAGTTTGCTCTTCAACTGGGGATGTTACAACAACTGTCCTTATTATGATTTTTCTTTCTTTCAGGGTACCAAAGGGAGTTTCAAGGTCCAAAAGACTTTTGCTACAACAAAGTGACAGGGATCATATCCTCACACTTCTGTGTTGTAGTACCAACTGCAACGTTACTGCTGAAAGCAGTCAAGGGCAGCCAGACTATCAGAAAAAGGATTAAATACAATTTGCAGACTACATCCCCTCTGTACAGTTATGTAATAGCACATTCTGTTTGTGATCTCAAGCATGCAAACCTCACCCTCTCCCTACCACCCCAATCTCATAATGACAGCTCCAGTAACTACCCCATCAGTTGCACTGCATGCACAAAAAAATTTTTCAGTTTAGATTGTATTTTGCAACAACAAACCCCACCACCAAAAAGAAAACCACCCAAAAATAAAATTATATTTATGAAAAGATTATAGTAACATCTGTGACCATAATTTTTGGAAGGTAAATTTAGGTCACATATATGCTGACATAGAGTAAGTTGTTTTTTCTTTATTCTAGGCATCTACAAAGTTTGTTCATTCTTTAGGCATACCTACAAAACGTCTTAGTGCACAGTGCTTCTAAATGCACAGCTAATGTTAAATAAATGGGAAGTCACTCTAACATCAATAAACATTGTGTAGGTTGGAAATTTCATTTCTTAATGTTTAAGTGACTTCTCATCTATTCAGTTAAACAAGCTAGTTGGTTATCAATTTTATGCTCCAGTAGCAGCTTAAGATTGGTCCCCAACTTATAATTAAAATGCAGAAAAGGAAAAGTGTCATATCACTACATCATATGCAGCCTCTAGTTTAAACTGCTTTTCCTTAGATGTTTTAAGATTGAAATACATACACAAACCAATTTTTTCCTCAACATCCAATACACTTATTTTTTGTTCAAGTTCATTACTGTGAGAATTAAGTTGGTTCTCTAAACACACAT